TATTACAGAACCACACCACATCTGGCCCACTCTGACTGACGAGGAGTGGATCAAGGTGGAGGTGCAGCTAAAAGATCTTATCTTGGCTGACTACGGCAAGAAAAACAAGTGAGCAATGGTGGTGGGGAGACAGATGGAAGATCCTAAAAGGATGAAATGAATGGTTTAGTATATGGTTTCTGGGTTTTTTGGAAACATTTAGGTTCAGAAATTTCTCAAGGAATTGTTCTGGGGATGCCTATAGAAAAGAGGTAGGCAATGTCTTCAGATAATGTAGAAAATGTCTGTGTTTCAGGGCTTCAGTCTGATTCTTGGGCATTTTTTCATGTTGCCATTTTGAGCAGGGCATTTCTTTACTGACCATACATTACAGGAAGTTTTAACATCCCGGATCCCCAGGTACCATTGCTAGCAGCACACACACACCCCTTCCTTCCCCCTCCCTGTCATTGTGACAACCAAAAATAAAAATGTCCATAGATTTCCAGGTACGCCTAGGGTGACTAACAGTACTAGCTGTGGTTGAGAACATGTTCTAAGGGTTTCTCTTTTTGAGAATTGTCTTATAAACCAGGGCATTTGTGTCAAAGAAAAGAGGAATGTCTGGCTACTGAGCAGGTTTCAGCATGGCTGAAAGGTGTACATGCACAGAGCCATCCTGGGCTGTGATAAATCTTACCGGTATTAGTACGTGTCCACGTCACACTTCCTTTACAAATGCCACTTGAGGATTGTCAGGAGTAAGGGTCTGGGGTCCCTTGTCTTACCAAGTTACACTCTTGCCTTTGGGATAGAACTGACTGAGGGGAAGGGATCTTGTGGTGTGATCCATGCTGTCCCCACAGTGTGAATGTGGCATCACTGACACAGTCAGAAATTCGAGACATCATCCTGGGTATGGAGATCTCGGCACCGTCACAGCAGCGGCAGCAGATAGCAGAGATTGAGAAGCAGACCAAGGAACAGTCACAACTGACAGCAACACAGACTCGTACTGTCAACAAGCATGGCGATGAGATCATTACTTCTACCACCAGCAACTATGAGACCCAGACTTTCTCCTCTAAGACTGAATGGAGGGTTAGGTACTATAAGGGACGGGAGGGGTTAGGGATGGCAAAGCCTACTTATACTACCTGCGGTGCTAGGCCAGAGAAATGCTGACATTCCCCACCGTTTTTAGGGCCATCTCTGCTGCCAACCTTCACCTAAGGACCAATCATATCTATGTTTCATCTGATGACATCAAGGAGACCGGTTATACCTATATCCTTCCCAAGAATGTGCTTAAGAAGTTTATCTGCATATCTGACCTTCGAGCCCAAGTGAGTAAGTGTGCTCAACTAGTCCATAGTGTGTGCCCAGCATTTTATGTGCCTAAAACTCACCTGAGATTGCTTGGAACTTAAGGTGCTGGTTTCAGGATTCACGGATGAATAAATATATATATACATTAAGAATGGCCAAGGGGCGCCTGGGTGGCTCAGTTGGTTGGGCATCTGCCTTCAACTCGGGTCATGATCCCAGAGTTCCGGGATCGAGCCCTGCTTTGGGCTCCCTGCTCGGCGGGGAGTCTGCTTCTCCCTCTGCCCCTCACCCCACTCGTGTTCTCTCTCTTTCACTCTGTTTCCCTCTCAAATTAAAAAAGAATGGCTGGAACAGCAGGAAAGGTTTTGGCTCTCATCAAATATTAAAACATTATAAAGCTATGGCAATTAAGAAAATGATCCAAAAGTTACTGGAAGAGGATAGCATATAATCAGCAACAGATTCATGTGGATATAATAAATGTGTATCAGATCTGTAGGATTAAGGATGCCTTATCATACTGAAACAATCAGAACCCTGCCTCACAACATAAAGAAAATAAAATGTGGGCGCCTGGGTGGCTCAGTTGGTTTAAGCGACTGCCTTCGGCTCAGGTCATGACCCCAGGGTCCTGGGATCGAGTCCCACATCAGGCTCCCCCTGCTCTGCGGGGAGCCTGCTTCTCCCTCTGCCTCTGCCTGCCGCTCCCCCTGCTTGTGCTCTCTCTCTCTCTCTGTCAAATAAATAAAATCTTTAAAAAAAATAAAATAAAATGCATGTAAAGATCTGCATGTAAAATACTAAGCTGTAGAGTATCACAACACTAAGGATAGCCTTCTTAAGACATAAAACCCAAAACCATAATCAAAATTAATAACTTGTGTATGACAAAGATGTACTAAAAACAAGAAGAAAATATTTGCATAATTCTAAAAAAAGATGGATTAGAATCTAGAATAGGGAATTATCAAAAGTTGATTTAAAAACATAACTGGGGCGTCTGGGTGGCTCAGTCGGTTAAGCATCTGCCTTGGGCTCAGGTCATGATCCCGGGGCAAGTCCCACATTGGGCTCTTTGCTCAGCAGGGAGCCTGCTTCTCCCTCTGCCTGCGGCTCCCCTTGCTTGTGCTCTCGTTCTCTGACAAATAAAATCTTTAAAAAAAAATCTGAAGGTAGTTCAGAAAAGGAACTACAGATGGCAAATGAAAAGATGCTCAACTTTACAGGTAATCAGGGAATTCATATTGTATAAAACACCCAATTTGTGGCCTCAGGTTGGTGAATTTGAAAAGATTGTTGATACCCTGTGTTGTGAGGAACACAGGTCCTCTTACTTTGTTGATGGCAGTGTAAAATTTAAAATACCACCTAGTGGTGGATTTCAAGATGTGTTCAGCTTGTGAAAATTCATGAGCCATGTGTTGGTGTGCTCACTCATTTATGGATACTATACAGATTATACTGTGCAGATTCCTGGACCCCAGTTGAGATTCTGATGTGGTAAGTCTGAGATGAGGTCCATGTTTGCGTTTTTAACAGCCACCCCAGGTGATCCTGATGCAAGAGATTCTGACCACATTCTGACCTATTCTTTGTTCTTGGGGAAGGGAACAAAACATTGGGCTAACAGCCCAGAGTCTAGAGTGGCACTAAGAATCATTTTGGTTCTTGACCCCCTTGTTTCCAGATTGCAGGATACTTGTATGGGGTGAGCCCACCAGATAACCCCCAGGTGAAGGAGATCCGCTGCATTGTGATGGTACCACAGTGGGGCACTCACCAAACCGTGCACCTGCCTGGCCAGCTGCCCCAGCATGAGTACCTCAAGGTCAGTGGAGGTGTGGGAGGATGGGGGCTTTCTTCTGTCAGAGTGGTGGAGGGAAGGCAGCCATGTTAACTCTCATGGAGGTGATTCCTATCTGCAGATGGGGGTAGGGCTTCAAATAGCTTTTCACCTCTCTTTGCGTATAGGAGATGGAACCCTTAGGATGGATCCACACTCAGCCCAATGAATCCCCCCAGCTGTCACCCCAAGATGTCACCACCCATGCTAAGATCATGGCTGACAACCCGTCTTGGGATGGTGAGAAGACCATTATCATCACCTGCAGGTAGGCTTTGGGCCCCCTTGGGAGGAGGTATGGCGGGGCAGGCATTGCAGCACAGGGCCTAGAATGGTGGCCTGAGCTCTGACTCTGTCCTCATCCCGCCTTCAGCTTCACGCCAGGCTCCTGCACACTGACAGCCTATAAGCTGACCCCCAGTGGCTATGAGTGGGGTCGCCAGAACACAGACAAGGGGAACAATCCCAAGGGCTATCTACCCTCACATTATGAAAGGGTCCAGATGCTGCTGTCCGACCGCTTCCTTGGCTTTTTTATGGTTCCTGCCCAGTCCTCCTGGAACTACAACTTTATGGGTAAGTTGGGGAGCACAGGGAAGTGGGACTGGGGTTAGGCCATCACCCTTGGCACATGGGGCTTGACTCTGGGCCCAGGCTGGGTGAGGTGGGTGCACCTGGTTAGCAGTGGCCCTTTCCTTCTTCCCCAAGGTGTCCGGCATGATCCCAACATGAAGTATGAGCTGCAGCTGGCAAATCCTAAAGAGTTCTACCACGAGGTGCACAGACCTTCCCACTTCCTCAACTTCGCTCTCCTGCAAGAGGGTGAGGTATACTCTGCGGACCGAGAGGACCTCTATGCCTAATTGTTTCCTCACCTCCCCCTGCTTCAGACGTCCCAAAGACTGGAACCTTTTACCCCCAAAGAAAAGCTGGTGACATTCAGCAGCTTGGTCCCTTTTCCCCCTATTTGTGCTTCTTGTGTTATTGATCTCTGGTGGCTTGTAGTCCTGAGCAAAATATAATAATAAATTTTGTATAAATAGGAGTTTTTGAGTTTTGTTTGCTTGTTCCCCCCCCTAGCTCAAATTCTGGGTATAGGGATGGCAGGAGACTGGACTTGATCACAGGAAAGTGCTGGCCTCAGCCTTAAAGGGGCATGAGGCCCCTAATCGGGCTGTGGACCAAGCATCCCCTAGATTCACGGAACTGAGGTGGTGTTGGGCTTTCATACCCTTACTGCCTTGACCACATTTACCAACTGCCCTTCAAACCATCACTCCTTTCAACATCCTTTGGAGCGGCTGCTGCTGTTTTCTGAATCTGGAAGTTTGTGGATTCCCCCCCCCCCCCCCGGGGAAACTGTGGTGCCCCGCGCGTAGCCCCTTAATCTGTGTGTCGCTGGTGGTTGGGAAAACAGACACATGGCTGGACAGATGGCTGTCTCTGGCTGAGGCCAATGGCAGCTGTCCTACCTCACCTCTCGCCTGTAGTACTTGACCGCCAAGTTGGGCCTCATGACTCCGGACACAGGGGTGGAGCCTGGATTGGGCACTGTGGGTAGGGATTGACAAAAGTGACCACTTAGAGCCCTGAGCCTCAGCTCTTGGACGCCTGGCTGCAAGTAGGCAGTCCTGCTTCCTGTGACCTTGGGGCTTGAACAGGACAGGGCCCAGGGGGCCCAGTGCACTACCTCCTTCCCCAAGCCTTTTTCTCTTAATTGCTCCTCTGTCGCTTCTTCCCCGCCCTCTCCTGCCTTAAACTGCTTCCTGGGCCGGAACTGTTTGGCTTTTTCCTGCCCCGGTTAGGGTTGGAGGGGGCGGGCGTTGTCGCAGCCCTTAACTTTCTGGGAGCATGGAGCCCGGGAAGGCGGTGCCTGGGGCGCACAGCAGCGGGCCTCGGGTGGCCGCGGGGTCAGGGACGGCCGCGGAGCTCGTGTACCATCTAGCGGGGGCCCTGGGCGCGGAGCTGAAGGAGCTGGCGCGCCGTTTCGGGCCGGAGGCGGCGGCCAGGCTAGTGCCACTCGTGGTGCGGACGCTGGAGCTCCTGGAAAAGGCTGCCGTGGGGCCGGACCCAGACTCAGTGAGTCACCGCGCTTCCCCCTGGCCACCCGCAGGGCTGGTGGGAGCCTCGCCTTCACAGCCTGGCCTCCCCAGCTGCAGGTGTCAGCGCAGCAGGCCGAAGTGGAGCTGCGGCGGCTGCGGGAGGAGAACGAGCGCCTCCGCAGAGAGCTGCGCTCTGGGCCACAGGGTGAGTGCGGGCACCGCCAAGGGGCGGCGGGGCGGGCCGGCTCGGGGCCTCCTCCCCAGGTCGCTGCTAAGAACACCCCTTCCTCAGAGGAGCGCGCTCTCCTGAGGCAGCTCAAGGAGGTGACCGACCGCCAGCGGGACGAGCTCCGCGCGCACAACCGAGACCTGCTGCAGCGCAGCCAGGAGACCGAGGCGGTGAGGGCGGGGCGGGGCGAGGCGATGGGCGTGAGGCGGGGGCTCCCCTCCACCCAGCGACGCCCCGCCTACCTGCCCTTTTGGTCCGCCCCCAGCTGCAGGAGCAGCTGCAGCGCCTCCTACTGGTGAATGAAGAGCTGCGGCACAAGCTGGCCGCCGTACAAACCCAGCTGCGCGCCGCGAGGGACCGCGAGAGCGAGCGGCAACTACAGCGCCAGGGGGTCGTGGAGCTGGCGCGGGACCAGGCCGGGGCGGCCGGCTACGAGCAGAGGCAGGAGCCCGAGCGGGCCACCGCCGACGCAGGAGCCCCGGGGACCCCTGAGGACCCGGTGAGTGCCCAGCACAGTACTCACAGGTCTGGTACTTGGTGGGCACTCGGGAAGGGTGCTGCGTAGCAGGTCCACCGGTAAGGTGGAAGGTGGCACACGGTGGCGCGGCGCCGGCCGGCCCCTGCTCCCACGCCCAGCCAGAGCACTGGGCTGTCATCTGTCGCAGCGCCCTCGCCTCCCAAGTCTCCCTGCCCGTCACTTGCTCTAGTAGTCCTGTGGTGGCCCCCGGGGCAGGGGAGCGCGGGTAGAGGCATCCCTCTGACCGAGCCTGTCCTCCCGCAGGCGGGTGCCCTGCAGCAGCCAGGGTGCTCCTCCAAGGCAGGACAGTGCAGCTTCAGTCGAGAGGAGCTTGAGCAGATCCTTCAGGAGCGGAATGAGCTCAAAGCCAACGTGTTCCTGCTGAAGGAGGAGTTGGCCTACTTCCAGCGGTGAGGGCGGTGGGCAGGGGCTGGGAAGCTCAGGGGCTCCTCTCACACCTGTCTGGGGGCCTCACGTCACCAGCTTCATTCTTTGGTTCACTGATCTATCCACAATGACATGTGCCAGGCACTGTGCTGGACACTGGGAGGACATGAACCACACAGCCCCTGCCTTCCTAGAACTTCTTCCAAATGGGGGAGGAGGTAGTACAAAAAGTCACAGCAGGGGCGCCTGGGTGGCTCAGTTGGTTAAGCAACTGCCTTCAGCTCCGGTCATGGTCCCAGGGTCCTGGGATCGAGCCCCGCATCGGGCTCCCTGCTCGGCGGGAAGCCTGCTTCTCCCTCTCCCACTCCCCTTGCTTGTGTTCCCTCTCTCTCTGTCTCTCTCTGTCAATTAAATAAATAAAATCTTTAAAAAAAAAAAAAAGTCACAGCAGCGGTCAAAGACAGATTCCTAGGAGGGGGCAGCACCTAAGCTAATCTGAGGGCTGTTAGCAAGGCAGAGTGTTTCAAACAAAGGGAACAGCATGCACAGGTACTTGGTATGAGACCGACTGTTGGCTTTCCCACTGCTTACTCTGCTCTTTTCCCTCCTCTGTAGGGAGCTGCTCACAGACCACCGGGTCCCTGGGCTTTTGGTTGAGGCCATGAAGGTGGCTGTCAAGAAGCAGCGGAAGAAGATCAAGGCCAAGATGCTAGGGACCCCAGAGGAAGCAGAAAGCAGGTAAGTCCCTGCCTCCATTCCCACTGAGCCGGCCCTCCCTTGCTAATTCTGCCGAGCCTGATGACCCAGCCCGGTCATGCTCTAACCCAGCCTAATCACCCCTGGAGCCTACTGCCTTAGCCTCAGCACTGCCTGAGCCTGTCACCTAGCCTAGTCACTTCTTCAACCTGCTAACCTGGCCTGGTCACCCCCTGAGCCTGCCACTCCAGCCTGGTCACCCCCTGAGCCTGCTGTCCAGCCTGCCACCCTTCTCTCTGGATCGCACTGCTCTGGCTTGCCATGCTCACTATACCTCCTGCTGAAGGAATCTGGTAATGATGCTTCTCCACATGAGTTTTTCAGTTTCCTGTCTTAGCTGGATCTGTTTGTTCTCAGAGGGTTAAGAATGTAATTACAGCCACGTCAGGGCCTGCTGTGAGGCTATAAAATAAAAGCCTCAAGATGTCCTTCCTTCATCTCCCTAGCACCTCCTCCTCTCCAGCCTTGAGGGTCCTGTAGTCACTCTCTCCTCCCTTGGCTGTTCCTGGGTACTGTGCAGAAGGCTGGACATAGCTGGACTCCCCTTGTCCCCCAGGGCCTTGATAAATGACCCCCACATCTCCTCTCTCCCCCTCTCTGCCTCAGTGACGATGAAGACAGCTCATGGCTCCTGCTCTCCAGTGATAAGAGAGCCCACCCTCCACCCACTGAGTCCAGAATACAGAGTTTGTATGTTGGGGGAAGAGGAAGGGCAAAGGTTGTGGGGGTGAAGGAGGGGCCCCACCTTTGTTCTTCTCCCCTTTCCTGCTCCACTGACATTCATCCTGCTGTCCTGAGCTCTAAGCACGCCCCTCCCTCCGTTGGCCCTGGCCCCTTTGCCTCCTCAATACCTCATTCTGTCCTCTCTTCTTTTTTTTTTTTTTTTTTTAAGATTTTATTTATTTATTTGACAGAGAGAGAGACAGCCAGTGAGGGAACACAAGCAGGGGGAGTGGGAGAGGGAGAAGCAGGCTTCCCGCCGAGCAGGGGGCCCGATGCGGGGCTCGATCCCAGGACCCTGGGATCATGACCTGAGCCAAAGGCAGACGCTTAACGACTGAGCCACCCAGGCGCCCCTCTGTCCTCTCTTCTTATTGTATCCCCTTTCCCCACCACTCCCTGAGCCCATAGCCTTGACCTCTCTGGCATCCAAGCTCAAAATACCTCTTGGTTCTCCCCCCAGCTTTGGCCTGTCCTATCAGGGTGAAACAGAGGACCCTGAAGCCCAGACCAGCAGCATGGCTCCCAGCGAGCTAGGGGGAGAAGAGGAGGCTCCACAGCAATCCCACTTGGCGCCTGGGGGCAGCCCCCCCAGTCCTCAACTCCTGACTAGCTCTGCTCAGCACTCGACGAGCATCTTTGTCTGGGGGTCTCAGCTGCCCCCAGAGACCTGACTTGGGAATTGGGCTATGGGTGGATGTGTGGCCTCAAATGAAGACAGGGCTCCCTCCTTCTCGGCCCTCCCCAGGCTCTTTCCCAGTTCTGGCCTGAGCCAGGGCATGATGAAGAGCTCAGCCTACCTTCCTTCCCTGTATCTTTGTGCCAAGCCTCAGGGCCCAGATAAAAGTGCTTCCTTCCAGAGTCTCAGTTTTCTTATCCATAAAATAGAGAGCTAACTACCTCCCTCCCAAGGCTTTGTGAGAATGGCCTAAGCTAATGCAGTAAAGCAGCTGCCCACGATACCCAGAAACGGCTCCACGTCTGTGTGTTAGTCGTGGGTCCCTGCCTGGCTCCGCCGGGACAGGCTGTGGTTTCCTCACAGGGTCTTGTTGGTTGTTAGTGGGTGGGGAGCTTCTCCCAGCTAGGGCCTTGCTTGCACAGTATGACCTAATGGAAAGACGTGGCTCCCCCTCTCACCATACACCCTCACCTATCCCCCAGGATCCTGGGACTTGCAGCTCCATCTTCCTGCCCCTTCCAGCGCCCTCCAACTTAAACTGACTGCCCCCCTTCAGCCTTCACCACGGCCTTCCTTTCCTTTTCATTTCTCTGGTGTCTGGTCTTCCCAGCACCCACCCACCCGCCCTCTCAGGGAGGTGCCTCATGGCAGCCCGCCTCTTCACACTGGTTTCCTCAGGAAAGGCCTTGGAAGGAAGCAGGGAGGGGGTTGGGAGCCGTGGGGGCCAGACTAACCCAAGCCCTCCCGCTGGACTGGCCGCCATGGGGCTGAGGCTTCTCCCACTGTTGCTGCTCTGGACACAGGGGACCCAGGGGTCCAAGCTGGACCCCAGTGGGCGGCATGTCTGCAAAGCCAGCAGGTGGGTCTTTGTGGGAAACTGATGTGGGGGCGGGGCTGGTCAAACTGGTGTTGAGGCATTGCCGGGAAGGAGGACGTGAGGGGAAGAGGGCCTGGGGACAGCCTGGAGGGAGGTGGATAGTCAAGGCCAAAGGTGGGAGGGCCAGGGATGGGATTAGGGACCCTGGGACTGTGACTCTTGGCTAGACCTGCCTGATGGGGCTGAGGCAGCCTCCCACATCTCAGCCAGAGACAGTGATCCACCTGCGGAGCCAGTGTGTCCCCCGGCTGACCCCTCTCTGCCCCACAGCCCCTCTGCTGAGCTCCAGTGCTGCCCAGGCTGGAGGCAGAAAGATCAAGAATGCACTGTCCGTGAGTAGCCAGAATGGATCCCCACCCGAGAAGAAATGAGGACGTAGCCCAGTGACCCTTCCTTCCTCTCCTCCTGGGCCTGTTTCCCCTCCTGAACCCTAGAGCTAGAGTCCATCCTGACACACACAGCCCCGCCCTGAGGGAATGGCTCTTGAGGGGGCAGGGCGCTGGGGGGCAGTGAGAGGGGCCGAGTGTCCCCTTGTTGGGCCATGCCACTGTCCTTTCCACCTGGGTGGGATGTTTTTCAGCCATCTGTGAGGGGGTAGATGCCTGCCAGGAAGATGAAGTATGTGTGAAACCAGGCCTCTGTCGATGCAAACCTGGATTCTTCGGGGCCCAGTGCAACTCCCGTGAGTCCTAGTTTCACCTGGAGGATGAGGTTGCTAGGCAGAATTGGGGAGCTGGGAGGCAAAGCAGGTGGAAATGTGATCTTAGCACAGCAGGGCCACTGAGGAAATTGAGGCCCAGAGTCAGGAAGTGACGCATTCCTGGAAGATGCCCTGAGTCATCTGGTTTTTACCCATATCCACAAAGCACTACGCAGAGTTTCAGTTGTCTGCCCTTCACCATCATGTTCAACTGCTCAGAAAAGACGTGGGTTATCCGTTAATTGCAAAATGGGCACATTCTCAGTCTCCCTCACATGGCCTTTCTATACGTGTGGAGGGTGGAAGGACACCCCTGGCTGGGCTCTCTGCCCTCTCTGGTAGAAAGAGGGGCAGGGGAAAGGGTCTGGTGGGCAGAATGGCCAGAGAGCGGGAATCAGGGCTGAGAGGAGACACCAGGGGCAAATGTGGCTTCCCTTGTGACCCTCACGGTCGGCATCTGGGCCGGGATGGACACTCAGTTTACCTCCGGGGGAGTGGGGTGGGGGATGCAGGGATGGGCATGAGAGGGAGGAAATCCTACTTCTGTGTGACTCTGGGCAAAGCTTCTCCCACTCGGGAACTTTCAGTGTGCTCTGGAAGTAGAAAGCTGGGCCACTGCAAAGGGTTTTTGTAGTTCCCAGTCAGAGGCAGGAAGTGAGCTGTGCCCCAGGAGGTTAGGCTGCCAGATGTCCAAGGGTCTGTCTCTGGCTCTTAGGGGTGGGCCTGGCGCCCCCTCTTCCTTGTGGACGGTGGCGCGAGGCGGAGATCCACGCCTGGCCCTGAGCCTGCTGACCCCCTTCCGTTCCCCGCCCCCCGCCCCCTTTGTAGGCTGCCCGGGCCAGTACTGGGGCCCCGATTGCCGTGAGATCTGTGCGTGCCACCCACACGGCCAGTGCGAGCCGGCCACGGGCGTGTGCCACTGCCTAGCGGACCGCTGGGGCGGCCGATGCGAGTTCGCGTGCGCCTGCGGCCCCCACGGGCGTTGCGACCCCGCGACGGGCGCGTGCCGCTGCGAGCCCGGCTGGTGGTCGTCCACTTGCCGCCGTCCGTGCCAGTGCAACCCGGCGGCGGCGCGCTGCGATCCAACCGACGGCTCCTGCCGCTGCGAGCCGGGCTGGTGGGGCCGCCGCTGCAGCTTCCGCTGCGCCTGCCACGGCTCGCCGTGCGCGCAGGAGACGGGCCGCTGCGCCTGCCGGCCGGGCTGGTGGGGCCCCGACTGCCGGCAGCCGTGCGAGTGCGTGCGCGGCCGCTGCAGCGCCGCCTCCGGCCAGTGCGCCTGCCCGCCCGGCTTCCGCGGCGCCCGCTGCGAGCTGCCCTGCCGCGCCGGCAGCTACGGGCCTCACTGCGGCGACAGGTGAGCGCGCGGCTGCGGGGCCGCGGCCGGGGGCGGGAGCGAGAGGGGAGGGGCCGCGGGCGCGGGGAGGGCGTGCGGAGGAGCTGAGGGGAACCGGACCCAAGGGACGAGCCGGGCAGAGGCGGGGGCGCGGGCAGAAGCGGGCGCGGTGCTCTCCGCAGACAGACGGGGACGGGGCGCGAGGGGGAGAAAGACCCTGGATGGCCTAGGTCCAGCCTCGCCCACCCCTTCGTCCGGTTACTCTCAAACAGTAGTAGTACCAGCAAGCTATACTTAGAAGCGGATAAAAGATGAATCGCGTGACGAAACGATTGCAGGGTGCCTTTAAAATTTAGTGGCTTTGGGCGCCTGGGTGGCTCAGTTGGTTCAGCGACTGCCTTCGGCTCAGGTCATGATCCTGGAGTCTCAGGATCGAGTCCCGCATCGGGCTTCCTGCTCGGCGAGGAGCCTGCTTCTCCCTCTGACCCTCTTCCCTCTCGTGCTCTCTATGTCTCATTCTCTCTCTCAAATAAATAAATAAAATCTTAACAAAAAAAAACAACTTAGTGGCTTTTCAACCTTTGGCCGCCCCACCCACAATAAGAAATGCGCTTTGGGGCGCCTGGCTGGCTTAGTAGGTAGAGCATGCAACTCTTGATCCCCGGGGGTGTGGAGTTGCAGCCCTGCGTTGGGCGTTGGGCATTGGGCATTGGGCGTTGGGCGTTGGGCATTGGGCGTTGGGCGATGGGTGATGGGCATGGCGCTTACTTAACAAATAAAAACAAGCCAAACAACAAAAAGAAGTGCGTTTGACATCCCACCTCTCTGCCTCTCAATACACACAGCTCTGAGGTAAAAGCTTAACCAGACAACACATACTTCTCTTTGATTCATGTATTATATGTAATATATATGTACATATCTGCATATATTACATATGTGAGATGCACACACACACTGTAACGTTTTCTTTCTTTTTCTTTCTTTTTTTTTTTTTTGATGCTGGTCTGCTAAATTGATTTTATGAACAAATGAGTCTTATCCAAGCACATGATTCCAGATAATTACCTGGAGAGAAACTTTTTTCAAGAAACTGTTAAAGAACCAATGAGAAATTAAGATAAGAAAAACCTTAGTGGAAAAGTTCCTAGGAGAGTAGATCCCAAGAGTTTTCATCACAAAGAAAAAAAATTTTTTTCCCTTTTTTGTACCTCTCTGAGATGAGGAATGTGAACTCAACTTACTGTGGTCAGCATTTCACAATGTATGTAAGTCAAGTCATTATGCTGTTCACCTTAAAGTTACACAGGGCAGTATGACAGTCACATCTCAAAAAAAACAACAACAAAAACTGGGGGAAACTTTTTTTTTAATTTTATTTTTTAAAGATTTTATTTATTTATTTGACAGAGACACAGCGAGAGAGGGAACACAGCAGGGGGAGTGGGGGAGGGAGAAGCAGTGCTCCTGCAGAGCAGGGAGACTGATGCGGGGCTTGATCCCAGGACCCTGGGACCATGACCTGAGCCGAAGGCAGACGCTTAATGACTGAGCCACCCAGGCGCCCCAAAACTTTTTTTAAGATTTTATTTATTTGGGGCGCCTGGGTGGCTCAGTTGGTTAAGCGACTGCCTTCGGCTCAGGTCATGATCCTGGAGTCGGGGGATCGAGTCCCACAAGGGGCTCCCTGCTCAGCGGGGAGTCTGCTTCTCTCTCTGACCCTCTTCCCTGTTATGCTTTCTCTCTCTCATTCTCTCTCTCTCTATCTCTCAAATAAATAAATAAAATCTTTTTTAAAAAGATTTTGTTTATTTGAGAGAGTGAGTGAGAGACAGAGAGAGAGAACCCAAGTTGGGGGGCAGAGGGAGAGGGAGAAGCAGACTCCCCACTGAGCAGGGGCCCAATGCGGGGCTTGATCCCAGGATCCCGAGATCATAACCTGAGCTGAAGGCAGACGCTTAACGCACTGAGCCACCCAGGCAGCCCGAAAACTTTTTTTTAAACAGAAGATAAACTTGAAATTATAGTGATGAAAACAGACATGTTTTAATTTTTCTGCATTTTCATGTTATGGGATAGGAGATACACCGAGTCCCAGTCACGCCAGACCTCAGAGATGGCGTGGA